GAAGTGAGCTTCATACGCACCAGAAGACGGAAGACTAAAAAACAAAATTAGCCCTTGGTTTAAGCAAAGATGTAGAGAAAGAAACAACAAAACGGCAAGCGCATGAAAAATTTATAAAAAGCAAAGGATAGAAAAAAAAACAGGAGTAAGCAAAAGTGCTGATAACGAACATGCAATGATAAGAAGAGGTGCTGATCGATAATTTGAGAGTGACACATCAACCAATGACAAATCTGGCCCAAAATTGTTTTACAATCGCATCAGAAGAGAGTCGACAGGTGATATGACTGAAGAAGGAAGGAGGAAAACCCAAGAAAAAGGAGAGAGAGTTCTACAAGATATTGAAATCAATCAAAGAGTTGTTTCAGTGGAAACTGGGGCAACAGAAGAGTCAAAAGGAATGATACACCAAAGAAGACTGGACAACAAATCCACAAAAAGGAGAGAGGTAAAACACTGTTTACTGGGCTGCATACATTAAAAGCATTAGTAAGTGAAAAGTTGCCACCTCGGATTCTACAAGTGGGAGTAAAAGCATTTTCTGAACCAATAAGTAAAATCAAGAGCCAGCAATAGACACGGGACAGTCGCCATAAATGCTGTAGGAAAGACAGGAAATGTAGTTTTAATAATTTAGAAAAGAGACAGAAGGAAGTCTAATCTCACTGACATGCAAACTATCCAATGTAAAGAAGATGATAATCAAAAGAAGAGTGGTGGATCACTGGGAGTGAAGTGGTTTTATATATGCTTGATATCTATGACAAAGTAGGAGATATAAAGCAAGAGAGAAAGGGAGAGGAGTGTATTCCATATTCTTGCCCTACAGGAAGGCATTTTCTGCTGTACTTCACAAGATGCTGGGACAAAAATTTGATGAACAGGAAGGAATAACAGGGAATGCATTGCAGGTGATTAAAGAGTACCGGGGGATTTTACGAAGAGACAACGGGCGATTTTACGAGAGGTCGGAATGGAAAAGTGTAATAGGTGGTGTTCAGCAAGGGTCAGTAATACGACCAGCAGAATTTGTGGTATATGTCAATGACATACCAGAAAAAAAAAGTCAGATGCATCCATATTTTAAAATGTAAAATTTATGAGAATAAAGGTGATGAGGTCAAGGAAATGCTAGAACTGGCTCTGGACAAACTACATGATTCATCAGACGAGTGCCTTCTTTAATTCCACCCTAGGAATTGTAATGTCATGAGAAGTGGGGAAGGGGAAGAGGCTGTAAACCTCACTAAACAAA